AGATGGGCTGAGAGCCCTCAACTTCCGGTCACTTCTTTCCTGTCTTCCCACATATGTCCAAAAAGCCATAGGATCCTAGTGACAATTCACAGGAACCTCGGAAATACTGTGTCCGCCTTAACTGAAAGCAGCTCCGAGTGAGTTGCTTTCCTCGGAGAGTGAAATTTAACTGAGCCTCTGGGAGCTCATTCAACCTTCTACTCTACTAGGTCTACATCGTAGAGTGCATATTTTGGTGAATTATCAACATTGATCTTTCACATACTTTTCAATTTGTGCTGGAAAATTCATAAAAAGCTGTGTTTAAAAAGGATTCAAAAACAAATTTTAAGGACGTTATTTATCCTAAATGCTAAATCCTCTAGCTCTGTAAAGAGCATATCTGTTCCATTCTGTGTGAACTTTAGCAACATCATTTTGTCTGGGTTATGTTTTCACCGGAAATTAGTGCTCTGCTTCACAGGGCAGATACTAGTGATGCACTTAGGAGACATCTGTCACAGCATTTGCAAATGGCACGTGGCAAATATTTAGAAGGGTTAAAGGAGGATTGTATCACAGTTCTAATGTCCTGGCATCTAAAGAAAGATAACCAAGAGTTCCTTGGTGAGCTCCGTAGTAACGAGTAAAGGATTTTAAAGTATCCAGTAATGGAAATGCATGAAAGAGTAGTCAGAATTATGGCTTCATTACTGTAATTTTCCTTTGAATTTTAATAAATAACAAAGCTTGATTGTGTTGTGGAATAGAAATGTATGTAATGTACATAAGTTAAGTTTTACTCTAATTATAAATATCATTAGCACTTCATGGAAAGAAATATCAAGGGATTATTTATCTTTTCAAGAGACTTCATATGATATGTAAGTGTTTAAAAGTAAGTTAAATGCTGGGGGTGGTGGTGCACTCTTGTAGTCCTGGCACTCAGGAGGCTGAGGCAGGAGGATCACTGTGAGTTTGAGACCAGCCTGGGTTACATAGTGAGTTCCAGGTCAGTCTCAACTACACAGTGAGACCCTGTCTTAACCTCCCCCGAAAAAATGTAAGTTTTTTTTTAAATTGCCCCATTTATACCATGATGTACAGAGGAAAGCAGGGCATTTTAATGCTTCAGGTGACTATGTTCAAGGAGGTAAACTCTGATTGTGTGTGCATATTTTAATATCTCAAAAATAAATTGCAAATAAAAGGAGCTGGTGTCATAGTGAAAATATATACATATCTATGTGATATACATATTTTATATATATATAGTGTAAATATGTCTAGGTGAATATCCATAATATTAAGGAATGAATATATCATTTGTGATATTTGAAAGGAAACTCTCCAGTAAGGCTTATT